GTCTATTTATGTTGCTTTGCTGTGGTTGGTTTTTATGATGCCTCAATCGGTGCCCTATCTAGGACAAGGTGTGAGAGATCTTTTTTAATATCTTCTCGCCTCATGCTTTCTTCCCTTTTCTCCTCTAAGCAAAAATATTATTCTGAATAAGAATAAGAGGGCCACGCTAATTAGCAGCAGCTTTGTGCACTCTGTCCATCTTTCGGACGGCTGTACGTATATGTTCTCATTTAATCTCGGTGCAATAACAATAAAGCTTATTCTGATTCTGATGGTAGAAAAACTGAAACTTGCAGAAATAAGCAGAAAGGAGCATAACAAGCTGAAATTAGAAGAGAGAAGTTAGAAGAAGCACAAAAATGGTTGTAGTTAGCAGAAATAATCTGAAAGGATCACAAAACAGCTGAAAGAACTGCTGGAATTAGCTGAAAATATTTTAAAATTTGCACGAAGAAGCTGAAAGAAGCTGAACCAGAACAAAATGTGAAAGTAGCAGTAAAAGGTTGTAAACAGATGTAAATATTTGGATGCAAAACGTGCTCAATTCATTTTATATCCGAAAGAAAAGTCAGAAAAGACAATGTTTCAATAAGCTAAAGCTGCACCAATACCAAAAGTCACAGCAGGATTTTCCTGAAAGAGCTGAACATTTTGATTTGTTGAAATAGCTTGAAAACTGCGGGATGAGAATCACGCCGAAAAATGTACGGGGAAAAAAAGGATCGTAGTGTGAATGCTTCACAAATGTTTGCACCACAAAATGTAATCGGTAAGAAAAACTGAAAAAAGGCTAATTTTGTTAACTAATTAAAAATGACAGTTGTAGAGTTTTGGTCACACTTTGAAGATCTCGAGATGTCACGCTCAGAGTCCACCTTTGCCTTTCTGTAGCGGGTCAGTCTTTATGACTCCTAGAAGACCGACTGTAGCATTAAAACTTATCAAACCAGCCGATGCTTGAAGTTCAGCTTTGCAGGTTGTTGCATGGATCTGATCCAACCCCGCGCTCGTTCGCCGTATTTATTTTATCCGGCGAACAGCTTTTAGACGCATCAGTCAGCCTCAACAGACTCCTCACACTTCAGTCACCTGACGGTTAAGAGGAGCAGCTTCATCTTTGTCGTCCGTTATCTCTCCTCTACATAATTAACAAAGTGCTCTCGCTACGTGAACTCATTAAGCTTCACGGGGAGATGGAGGCTGATTTTGCTGAAGTGCAAAGTCATCCCCGCTGCACGATTTAAGGGTTCGCCTCTTCTCAACAGAAGGATTATCTGCTCGGCACGTGCAGCGTTAAAGCCGTATTCTCTCTCTGGCACACATGAACCTTTTTGTTTCCATCTCTCCTCCCAGGATCCTTCACTGGCTGGTTTCAGCAGCTTTCCAGATGACCATACTGAGAGATCTGGAGAAACTGACGGGCTGGCTGCGTATCTCAATCATTTACATCCTCAGTGGCATCACCGGCAACTTGGCTTCAGCCATCTTCCTGCCGTACAGAGCAGAGGTGATCTCCTGTAATATTTCCAAACAGTGCAACACTCTGTGCATGGACTGATTATAATTGTCCGTATTTTCTTTGCCGTCGGTCTCAGGTGGGTCCAGCTGGCTCTCAGTTTGGGATACTGGCCTGCCTGTTCGTGGAGTTGTTTCAGAGCTGGCAGATCCTGGCCCAACCCTGGAGGGCCTTCATCAAGCTGCTGTGTGTGGTGCTCTTCCTCTTTGCCTTTGGGCTGTTGCCCTGGATCGACAATTTCGCCCACATATGCGGCTTCATCTCCGGCTTCTTCCTGTCCTTCGCCTTCCTGCCCTACATCAGCTTCGGCCGCATGGACCTGTACCGCAAACGCTGCCAGATCATCGTCTTCCTGCTGGTGTTTGTCGGCCTCTTTTCGGGCCTTGTGGTGCTCTTCTACGTCTACGCGATCAAGTGCGAGTGGTGTGAATTGCTAACCTGTATCCCCTTCACGGACAAATTCTGCGAGAAGTACGACCTCAATGCTCACCTTCACTGAAGCGTAGCAGCAAGATCAGATCATTGTGGACTGGGTGGAGAATTATTTCCCCTTTTTTATAAGAACTAAAATAGTTGTGTTCTTTTACTCTGTTATGAATAGCTATACTCCTCATAAGGACTTTAATTTCCTGTCACACATTGTCCTTTACTGTCCAGTGACGCAAAGCTATGGCACCCCATCAAGGATCCCTGTTTACACAAGAGACTGCCTGGAGAGTCCGGCGCTGGTACAAGGAGGATCATTTGCCTCATTCACAATCCAGAAAAAGTTTTTATTCTTATTCAGGCAACCTCGGAACCTAAGCAGGGACAAATAATCTTGATACCTTTGGTGCCTTGTCAATAAATGTACCAACTACTGCCATATTTTTGTTACATTATGCTGAACACTCGAATGTTTCCTTTTGTTTATTGCTTCTCGAGAAGTGATTATTGTTTTGAACATGGTAGCGTTTTAGCTACCAGTCGACACTCGTAACAGAATTTTAAAACAGTAAAATAATAAATGGAAATGTCTACTTTTTTTTTTTTTAATTCTCAGTAAATGCCTGCTAAATGTTCTGCAGTTTTATTTAAATCGAGCAACAATAAAACAAGCATTTTTGCTACTAATATTCATAATTTACTGAATTTTTATTGGCTCCAACGTGCACAGTACTAAAACGTAAAAACAGCCTTTACAGCTTTTGACAAAAGTAGAATTCAAACGATTTAAAACTCAAAGTTGTGAGATATTTCAGCAATGGCTGCCTTGTTAGCACAAACATTATAAATGGTTGAAAAACATAAGCTCAAAGCTGATATCGCATGTCGTAAAGGGCAAAAAGTGACTTTTTGTTTAAAGAAATGAATCCACAGTTTCTTCTGTCTTCCCGCAGACATCGCTCATTCTTCAGTGAGTCAAAAAGACATATTCAGAATCCAAGCCAACAACCCACGTTGGCCCTTTCATCTCTATATTTTCAATCTTTTCTGTCCTGAGTCCATATCATTTAGAGAAAGGTGTTCACTAGCAGCCACTGTTTCGTCGTGCATACGCCTGCCCACCGAGCAAATACTCCATTTCTTGAAAGCGCAAGTTGGCCACAGAGATTTCAGACAACCCCTTCTGCTTGAAGCCAGCCTTGAGGTAGAAGGGCACCAGGAAGTCCTCGCAGATCAGCAGCGCTCGCCGGAGACCCGGCATGCAGCGCAGGTACTGCAAGTAGCGCCACAAAAGAATGGAGCCCTTGCCCTGCTGTCGACAGTGGCGGTGCACGGACAGCACGTGGATGTGCACGGTGGGGGTGTCTGGAACGTGCCGAGTCATGGCCTCCTGAAAGAGCGAGATTAGACTTGATTGTTGAAATCCAAGCAAAACGAGGCAGATTGAGCTTTTTTTTTTTTTATGTACCTGTGAAAGCCTTTTCTTGTTCCAGCCTGAGCCGATGATGAACGCTACCAGCTGTCCCTCTTCAAACCAACCCAGGGACAGCTCAGGACACAGACTCAGGAAGTTCAGCACTTCGTCCAGCGTGAGCGGACACTCGCCAGACACAGAAACAAAAGCTGGACCGCATTCAGCCAGGGGTCATTATCAAGGTAGCAAATATCACGAAGCAATACCAAAATCCTGTTACATCGAAACTTCAAATCTGACATATGACAAAATTCAAACTATCCTCCAAACATTTGGGAAGTCAGTCGAGCTGTTTGTGAATTACAAAAAGGGAATCTACTCGCCTTCTTTCTCGATTTCAAACACGCTGATGGCGTCCTGAGATGTGAGGTTCCTGAACTCGCTGGCAGGGAGTGTGTGGCGTCTCTGGTGCAGAGGGCTGACCACTCGGACTGGTGTCTTCAGGAAGAAGGGCTTCAGGAAAGGCGAGCCGCTGACCTTTGTTGTCATCATACCTCAACACTACAGTAAACGGGAGCTTTAGGTTATTTTACAAGACCTCTTGATTACGCCGGCTCCTCTTGTGGCTCCCTCAGCTGTGCCTGCAGTCTAACACAGATGCACCTCCTTTTCTCTCCTCCTCATCTTCTTCTTTTCTGTCTGATCCCATAATGCGTATTGGTCGTCTCAAAGCAGGATATCTGTCTGCACGTGCCCGAGGAGTCTCTAAATCTCCTTGATACTAAATGACATTTTGTTCTTGGTGTTTTATTTTTAATTATTTTTTAAAATAACCTTTTGGATATCTTATACCTTGACTAAAAAAAAAAAAAAAAAAACCTTTTCAATATAGGATACTGAGTTACACCAAGAATTAGGTAAATTAATATAAATTTTACACAAAAAATATATTCAGATGTAATATAGACCAATTATTAAAGGCATATGAAGTAATGTAATGTCCATGCTCACTCAGCTGTATATTTTAAAGTGTGACATGATGCTGCAGAATGTGTTAAAACACGTTTTTTAGAGATTAGGGGCATGTGGGCTAATTTAACTGTCCAAAGTCAGGAGGGAGATTTGTGCGGCTCGCAGCTGGGATGATTTCATGCCTTAAGATTTAGCAAGGACTAATTAAATGAGAAGACACCTGCTTTACTGGCTGGACTTGTTTACAGACTTGTTCTGTATGACTGTGGACCCAAGACAAGTTTAAAAGACTTTATTCTCCATAATCATGTTCCAGTTCTGAAACAGTTGGGACGATGTGTAAAAAAGTTTTAATGTAACGTTTTGCAAATCTCATAAACCCATATTTTATTCCCAGTGGATTAGTAGTCTTCTTTCAACTGTTCGCTCTTCAGGAGTCGCCACAGCAAGTCATCCTCCTCCATCTCACTCTCTGCATCCTCTGTCCTCACTCCAACTACCTCCATGTCCTCTCTAACTGCATCCATATATCTCCTCTCTGTCTTTATCCTGGCAGCTGCATTTCTAACATCCTTCTACCAGTATACCCACTGTCCCTCCTCTGGACATGTCCAAACCATCTCAGTCTGGCCTCTCTTAACTTTATCTCCCATTGTTCAACCTGTGCTGTACCTCTGATAATCTCATTCCTAATCTTATCCATCCTTGTCACTCCCTCAACATGTTCATTTCTGCTTCTTGTAGTTCTTTCTTATTTTTGTCATTGCCACTGACCATACAACATAGCTGGTCTCACCACTGTGTTGTAAATTTTTCCTTAACCTTTGCTGCCACTGTTTTTTTGCTAATGACTCCTGAAACTTTTCTCCATCCCCTCCCCCCCCCCCCCCCCCCAAAAAAAAAAAATTCCCAATGGATACAGTAAGCATGTCAAATGTTAAGAAATGGAAACCAAATGGAACCATTAGTGGGAAAAATAAGGCAATTTTGAATTTGATGGCAGCAACAAATCCTGATAATGGGACAGGAGCAACAAAAAGCTATTAAAATGATACAAATGTGATCCTGTGCTCCAGTATCAACATGTGGCACGGAAGCTGCACAGCTGCAGAAAGAAAAGCTTTGCAGAGAGTGGTGAAGGCTGCACAGAAGTCTGTTGGAGTCAGTCTCCCCAACATCACAGACATCTACACCTCCAGATGCAGGAAGAGGGCCACCTGCATCATGAAGGACCCCACTCACCAAGCACACACACCTTTTGCCCCGCTCCCCTCAGGAAGGAGGTTAAAGAGCATTAAGTGTAGAATCACTAGACTGAGGAACAGCTTCTACCCTGAGGCTGTTAGACTCATGAATCTCTAACCAGGATAATCACTGTGAAAAATCACATCATGTTGCTGCTGATCTGTTTCATGTTGCTGCTGATCTGTTTCATGTTGCTGCTGATTTGTTTCATGTTGCTGTGTTCATTCGTGCTCATTTGCTCACAGACTCATGTTTGTGCTGCTGTTAGGTGTATTGATTTTATGCTACTAGTGCTTAGTGTATTTTTAGTTTATGTTTTTCTTAGTTCATATCTTAGATCTTATTACTGTTTTTCTTTTACATTTCATACTTTTGTTGGATGTAACCGAGACCCTGTGTACACAATTTCATTCCACCACATGTACCACATGTGGTGCGAATGACAAATAAAGAAACTCTTGACTCTGACACAAATCGCACAAAACAGACGTGATATGGGAACACCATCCAAAAATGTCTTCTCTGGGCTCATTCAAAATGAACTGAGGCAAAATGGAAAACTGTTCTGTGATCAGACATTTAAAATGTTCTTTCAAAATCATTGACACTATGTTCTAAAGATGAAAAGGACCATCCAGCCCATTTCAGCTTCTAGTTCAAAACCCTGCCTCTCTGATAGTATGGGGGTGCATCAGTGACTCAAGCATGGACAGCTTCTGCACATCTGGAAAAGCATAATCAATGCTGGAAAGTATATATAGGGTATAGAACATGTGCTCCCATCCTGATGACTTTCTCAGGGATGTATTACAATTAATATACTGTATAATATAGTACATTTTAAATACATTACCAGTAATGGTTCAATTTACTTTCAGCAATTTTGTTAACACTTTACCCCGAGTGTAAAATCCAGCTGTTTGGTTCTATCAATCTTCAAGTATCTGACTTTCAAATGTATAAACTCCTGTTCTGGATTAAATGGCTGTACTGAAGGAAACATGGTTCCCCAAGAAAAGTGTGCCTTAAAGCTATAAAAGTTTTGTAAGCTATCATTAGTCTACTTCCAAAAGTTTCACAGCAGTGCCTTTTAAATATTTAAAATAAAAACACTGGTTTTAAAACAAATTCCAGGAAACAGCCTGGAAAAAAATAAACCACAAAGCTTGTCCAAAGGTTCAGTTGAGAAATGAACTTTACAGCAGTCCATAGTTCATTGCACACAATTAAAGTGCACCGACTGAAAGCCGGAAGACGGTTTGTTGTCTGTTTGACCAGCCAGAAGAAATTTTTATCCCAAAAGGTCAAAACCTCTGAGATTTCCTGCACTTCTGAATGTGAAACAATGAAGTCATCTATTTACACAGGTTGAAAAAAAAATCAACATTTATGAGTAAATACTTTAAAGAGATCATAATTCACAAAATTTTGCCATCTTCTTATGACCTACTTCACCAAATGATAACCATTATGTTGTAAAACTTGTAATTTTATCTTACAGCCTTTTTTTTTTTTTTACCTTTTTAAGTCATAAAATGAACTCATCTTAAGAAGAATGAAAAATGTTGTAGTGGCTCAGTCATGAGTCAAAGCATTGAGTCTTTGTACTTTATTGTTATACACATGCTGCTATACACACACAGAGACCGGGACAGATTTTACAGGGAGCCAAAAACCATACTGTGGGGTACTCCTGGATGCCAGGTCAATAGTGGTGAGAACAGGAAGGCACAGTGTCAACTTGAAATGGCACAGAAATGGGAAAATAAAGGCTAAAAATAACCACAGTACTTAAAATGCAGAGGTAGAAAGCCTCTAGAGTCGCATGCAATCAAGCCCAGCTACTGCAAACTTTGCATCAGATGTTTGTTTCAGTAACACATCACTGAATTCTGATATTTGGTCAAATAAAATGTAAATAAGAACGACTCCAACTTAAAATGGCTGTACCTAATGATATATTTTTTTAATATCATGAAGACTGCAAGAGTAAATAAAATGTAAATCCTGTCTGTGGGCTGAAACTGTTGTAAATTGAAGCGTTTGTAAAAACACCAATGTTCGTTGCAAGCAGGCAGCTACTTGAAGGCACATAGATCTATATGCATGATGCTACACATACAGGACCGAGGTAAATGAAGCCACTGCTGTCACAAAACACGTGGCTTTTACAGTCTTTTTTGCAACATTAATACCAAACACGTTGCCACAAAGACTGTACAGAGATCAGTCACATCAATGACAAGTACGCTTGCTGAGCCAAACACTAAACCAGCATAATGCAGAGGGAACTTTAGTTTGTTTCAGGCTTTAAAATCAGCTGTCGAGACCTAAATCTGCAGCTCTGGTAAAAAAAACATGACTGTTAAAATGTTCTCATCTGGAATGGCAGACGCTCTTTAATATATATATATAATAAGCAATAATACACTTTAAAATTATCTACACAGATTTTTTGTTATTTTAAAATATTAAAAGCAAACATGCCGATGTTTAGGACAATAATCAAGTTAAAATAACCTTATCATACAGTATGCTTTTATTAAAAAGGAATGGAAAAACGGGAGTGCAATATCACAAAAAAGGACACAGATACATAAGTAATGACTTTTTAAATACTAATAGTAAACCTAATGAAATAGTCTTAAATGCTCTGGGTTTTTACTAATAATTACAATACCTAAGCGCAAACTGCATTTAAAGACTGTTTCGAATTTATTGTCAAGAAATTGTTAAATGTTAAATTAAACGTGCTTAAAAGCACCACCATGACAGGCAGTGAAATCTCTCTCTGGACTCTACATTACAAGACCACAAATCTGGCCAAGACACACGTGATAAAGAGGTAATGAAATATTTTCAAAGCTGGGAAAAACAGAGGAAACTAAGTGTCAGTCATAAATGTTTTGTATTGATGGAATAAATAAGAGCCCCTCCTCGTCTTTAACTTTCCATTAGGCTCCTTTTCTGCTCTCACAACCACACAAGATTGGTTCGAGGAGGGTTGTTTGGGAAAATCTTGCGAGGCGATAAGATGATCTTTGGGGGAGAAGCGTCAGGGGTTGAAGTGCTCGTCCTCCATGTGAAGGCTGCTTGAAGGACGCAGGAGAGGCTGGCTGGAGCAGTTTGTGCTCTGACTTTTCAGACTTTCTGTGGACTCTGAGGAACCTGCAGTGGAGGATAGAAAAGTAACAATTTAAAGTGATGTTGCCTAATAAACATTCAATAAAAGCAGTGATACATAAAAAACGGCTACCGGTACTTATTCACAAGCACACACACACACATTTAAAACTTGCTTAAAACAGCAAATTTGCTGCTGGAACATGTTTTTTGTTTTCTCTAGCATCAGTGAATGTAATCGTGAAGAATCAGTCAGGGAGGAATAAGTAGAGCTCATACATACAGAAGCAGAGCAGACAGGAAACTCTACATACCAGTTATTCCTCCATACCAATAGAGCAAGAATCAGGACCTAGAGCTGCAAGAAAGTGAGGAGGTTCAAAGAGACAGGAAAGCGTGGAATAGGAGAGGAGTGTTAGGAAACACGCAGAGGCAGGAGCACACAGGTTAGATGCAAAGCACAGAGAATCGTAGCCTTAAAATATCTGATTAAGGTAGAGCTGGAGAACCAGACTGTCGGTTATTCAATGAATGAAACCAAACGTAACCAAGATGCAGAAAGAGTTTGTCTCGAAAGATTTTCTTCTGAGCGGTCATTGGGGTCTAGACCAGTTTTACTTTTCAAACATTAGAAAAGGATTAAATTTCCACCCTCTTTCAGTTTTGATTTTTTTTCTTTCTCTTAAAGGTTTGAGGCTCTTCTACAAAACATATCTGTTTTGTGTGCCTGACAGAATATTTCTCACCAGGCAGGGACAGATCACACGCAGGGTCGCTTTCTGTTTTGGTCAAGCTGCAGCGCTCGCTGCTGCAGTCCTGCAGGATGTCTTCTCCAGAATGCATCCTGTCCTCTGGATCACGCAGGACAGCAACAACGTCAAACAAATTACCGACCGTCTTTTCACAGAGAGCCGAAAGAGAAAACTCACCATCATCTGGAGAAAGAGACTCGGCCACATCCTCAGCTGCTGTTGCCTAGAACAAAAGAGACAAAGAAGTTCAGTCCGTGGCAAATTCTACGGTCAAACATTGAGCAGAGAAGCAGCTTACGTCGGTCGGGGCGGGGCTGCTGGAGAGACGTGTGTGTGGCTGAGCGTCAGACATCTCAGACAGCTTCTCTTCATCCTCCTCCTGGATCGGAGAGGATGGGGATCGAAGGGTGCTGCAACCAAAATTAAGGCACAAAATAAATAATTTCATCTACTTTTTAAAAAACCTTCAGTTTAACTTTTAAATACGCTTAAAAAAAGCAAGCGATACGCCGATGTCCACCATTGCTGAATGATTTAAATAGTTAATGGGAATGCAAGTCAACCTTAATGTCTTTGGTGCAGCGGGCAGAAGTTACACCGTGTATAAGAACAAAATACTTTTTTCTTTTCTTGTTCAAGGCAGCACAGTGACAAATCCTGGAAATAGGGAGCAATTTTATCCACAACCAGATGCAACAGTAGAGCCAGGGGGTGGCCAATGGTGCCCTTGGCCATCAAACAATTTTTGGCCACCCCAATTATTTGATGAAAGTATATTTTTAAGCAATATAAAGACTAAAAAGCATAGTTTCCTCAAATTGCCAGTTTATTTTTCACACGTACGCACACGGTGGTGCCGATCTGGGATTTTGATGTGCCAACCCAATTTTACAGTGTCCTTTTCTACACCTAGATGTAGTTACACACCAAAATGGAAGTCGGTACCTCACTTATTTTCCAAGCTATCCAGCTCAAAAGATGGGGACTGAGCAGCAATTTTGGATTATGACCTGGCAAATCAATTTTTGAAAGTTGTCTAGATGCAGTGATACACCACAATGGAAGTCAATGCCTTAACTGGTACTTAATTTTCAAGTTATCATTCTTACAACACTCAGGCATTTATGACGGCAGCCATCTTGGATTTTGATGTGGCAACACAATTTTTGAAAGGAACTGTTCTTACACCTCGATGTAGCCACACATCAAAATGGAAGCTGGTACCTCGCTTATGTTTCAAGTTGTCATGATCACAACACGCAAGCATGGACCCGGGGGTGGGGGTCCAATTCCCCCTTTTCGCTCCACAACAGGGGACAAAAAAGGGCCATCTGTAGCGTACTCACAAATTACAGTTAATGCTGAAAATAACTGAGAAAAAAATGTTTAGTAAGGAAAAACAAACGTTTAAAACTAAGATTAAAATTGAAACCCAATTTTCTCCACTCAGATATAAACTCGGCACAAATACAAATGATTTTGTTTGCAAGTTTTAACGCACACGTCAGGATACATAAACGTTTGTGCAGTTTTATATATCTAAACATTTCTTGAGTTACGTACTTTTCAGACATTGTAAATGTGATTCTTTTCATTTTAGGATTACCTGTCAGGTGACTTGCTGACTTTGCTTTTCTGCAGACTTCCGTCACTTAAATGCTCTGGTGAGCTTAGCTGTCGGCCATCACCCCCCAACCCCCCGGAAAAATTAATTTCATCATACAGGGGGGCCGAGGGGATGGAAGGGGACACTGACCTCAGACCGTTCAGAGCCTCTAATAGTGAAATGGGCTCAAAACCAGGAGGAACAGAGTCTGAGCTCTGCAAAAAGTAAAAGACAAAAGAAGAGGTAACAGATTTATCACAGACCATAATCTCACAATCTGGATTATTTAGGCTGCAAATGAGTCAAAAATTATGCACCCTTTTTACCATTCTCTTTGCTACGATTTCTGGTATGTTGCACAACATAGATATATTACAAAAAAACTGAAAAAACAAATAATGACGATCAATGTGGTTTTGACAAAAACATCATTAAAAATTTAAACAAGTCAGAAAAAGTTAAACTTCACATGTCTCAATTGGCATTTTGATAACTTTAATTGTATTTAAACAATTTCTTTTAAGGTTTTATATTTATTTCCAGACTGTTCAACTGACTGTTTATGTCACACACCAACTTTTAAATTGTCGAATATTTTTCTTTCACCATTAACTCTTTTTGATACATATATAAAGATGTAGATTTCATCATGTCTTCTCTTTAATCTTTAGTCTTTTTACACTTCTTATACAGTTCACACACACAAAAAAAATCTAGGATTTTTTCTCTTAGATTAATACAATGTTGGAATTTTGGGCAACAGCTGCATTGCACACTTCAAAATGTCTAAACGTTTCTAGTTTTAATGATATTTTACAATAAATGTACTTTTAAGCGATACCATACCATTTTATTTATAAAGCACTTAAAAACAGCAACAAGGCCAGCCAAAGTGCCGTACAGCAAAAACAATGATGAAATAAGATGACGCAGTAAGTAGCAAGTCTTTATGAGCAGGATGTGCGTAGCACTTACTGAGTGCTCATCGTGGTCCATAGTTTGAGCCAGAACTGGACTGAAGGAGACAGGAGAAAGAGCTCCAGGCTTTTTCCTCACAGCTCTGATCTGCAGCAAGGCTCTAAAAGCTGTTCAGAGGAAAATAAAGAGCAGTTCAACACAACAACATAAATTCATTCTTATTAAACCCACTCAGATGTGAAACAATGCAACCACTCTTACGCAGTCTGCAGATGGGACAGTTGTTGGCCTGGTAACGCAGTGTGTCTGCGCAGGAGTTGCAGAGGCACAGATGTCTGCAGGGCAGGATGAGTGTGTCTCGCAGGTCAGATAGACAGACGACACACTCATTGCTGTTGTCACTGTTCTCATCATCAGATGGCTAACAGAATGAAACAAAAATTAAAAAAAGGGCATGCACATCAAATAAGGCTGAATAACTTCAGCATCATGTTTAATGAAAGCAGAAAATTCCCACGGGAACCTTTGTTTCTTGGTTGTTTTTGTTCTCAATCCCATAGATTTCCTGTAAGAGGTAGCTCACACGATCTACCTGTAAAAAAAAAAGAACACACACTTGTTTATGAAGACTTTAATGATTTGACTTTTGGCTGAAGATTTTGTGGCACAAAGATTTGTAAAAAGCAGACATAACTAAAAAAAAAAAAAAAGATACAAAAAATTGTTTCATGTAGAAAATGAAGACATCTGTCCACGCTGTTTACAAAATGCAGTGCATCAGCAACTTCCCGATGCTCTGCCTTCAACATCTAAATATCACCACCTACACAGCTTTATCAACAAGCTGCAGCAGAAAGGTGCTTTCTGGAAGACTGAATTTACACGTGTGATTAAAAACAAAGATTTTAAACTAGACAAAGTAAAAAGTACTGCATTAAATTACACTCCTAAATGAAATCACCAAGTAAAATATAAAGTTTGTATTACAATGAAAGCAGTAAACTTACAATTTGCTTCTGCTTCAGTGGCTTGACAGAGAAACTGCCATCAACATGCTGGAGAAAAAAAAAACAAGTGTTTTATCTCACTTGGAACCGTTACATCCATCACAAGTATTTACTTATTTTTATACTTACTCTTTCAAATGCTGCCAAAAGCACATGAGCATGTCCAAGACAATCTTTCAAAAAGAAAAAACAAAATAAAGCTGTATTAACGTGCAACACTATCAGACAGTGCAACTGTATACACAGTAACATTAGACCAGATGAGTTGTCAGGACCTACCGTCTCCTTCATCGACCACAGCTTGGATTACCATGGGAAACACTCCCCGGTCCAGATCGAAGTTCAGCTTTAAAGACAACAATACACTTGTGTAAAATGGATGATTTATATATAGATGCAGGACGTTTGTGTGGTCTAGTGACAAAACTTCAAACTTACATCTTCTTCTTTCCACTCGCTGAAGTCTATTTTGAAGGCTGGCATAGAGAAATGCTGGTTCACCCCCCGCTTGTAGTGCACTGTTTCAGAAACCATGGCTGGATCCTTTGGACTGTACCTAAAAATTCAAGAAACAAATAAAAAATATATACATTTTGTTCCAATGCATAAAAAAAAAAATAAAAAAAATTGCTGAGTTGAAGGTTAAAAAGGAGACCTGTCATCAAGTACGAAGACAAAAACACCAGACTAACACGTCAGTAATATCTAAACCTAAGTTTAATTGGAAGATGTTAACTTCAGTACAGGCTTTTACTGTCTTATCTGCGGTATCCATGGCGATGACTTGTTGCTAAGGACCCGTTACATCTATTCTTGACTCTGAAGCCAAAGTGTTTCTGGCACAATGTTTCTCACTAACATGAAGTAGCTGTGGTGAGATGCATGCATGAGTTCTGAGATAAGTTATACAAGTATGTGACAATGATTTGTTCAACTCAGATGGAAAATAAAATGCCTAGCATTCCGTGAAGAAATACATGCACCCTGGACTAAGGCGAGCTTATTTTGAGAAGCTGTTGACTTTTTGGTAAAACATTTTGTTATGTTATATTTAATCTAATGCTAAATCACAAGATGCGATGGTGAGAATATGTGATGACTCTCAGCTACTGACACACCCAATTTAAACTCAATATCTGTAAACTTGACAGAGTAATAACCATTTTAGTGTTTTTAATAAGTCTGTTGATGGTTGTAGCCATCTTGAATGGGGCAGACTCCCAGGCTTGATCAGTTGCAGATGTAAATTTATTAATTACTTAATTATATTAAAATGGTCCAATGGTTCATGAGATATTTTGTCAATACCAGATACAGGAGCAAATAACATTGTCTGCCTTCTCCTTTTGGCTAAATAACACCGTAACAGTTTCTGCTAAATCAAAGTAGCATTATGAAATTCTTACACAGCCATGCCATTGGAGAACTCCTCAAACGCCTGGCAGTAGAGGGTGATGGCGACCCGTGCGTCAGCATCGAAGGTAAACTCCACGCTGTACTGAACCTTCGGTTTCCCTCCGTCCTCCAATGATGTGTCAGAGTCATCTTTATATCTAAAATCAAGAAGATGGATAAACATTATACAAAGAATATTTGCCTTTGAATGCTTTTATTGTGTTAGAATCTTATTTTCTTTACCTGACTAAACGCAGAGAGTCCTTTCTGATGTTCACCAGACTCCTCAGGGTTTTCACAGGTTCGTGGGGTGCAGGTGTCACATACGGAAACTAGTGAAATGACAGCAAATTGAATGAATTGAACTAAAATAGTTTAACACTACTGTTACAAACAAGATGTAAAGACACTTACTTTTGAATATGCGCACTAATGAAGGTAAAAGAACATCATGTGTTACCTGAACTGGCCTATTTCCAAGAAAATTCAGGTCCATGTTTTCCCCAAAGAGGTATCCCTCTGGATGTGGTGTGTCAAATTTCTCTCCTCCCATGAAAAAATGGCTGGCAAAGTAATTCCCTGAAGAAGAAAGAAAAGAAAATGATTAACTATGCCATCAGTAAGACACATAGGAACAGATTTGGGCGTAACCTTAGCAACCCCTGTGTCATGAATAGACAAATGAAGATTATTTAATTTTAGTACATGATTTACTTGACAAAAGACTATTCAGTTGTATAAATTCATTCAAATTAAATGTCAGGATTTTTAATATCTGTGCATTTTTAACAATTTAAGAGGCCAAAGCTGCATATTGACACCATGTATGAAACTATTCTTCTTAATCATAAAATTAAAATGCTATAATGAGTAAATATATGATCTCAAATGTGTCATTCCTTGAGAGGGCTGGATATGAGACAGAGACAATGTGACTGAGCAATATGTCTCCTAAACCTGACTGCATACAACAACAGTATCAATGATCAATCACATAAAATGCGCCATAAACCCGATTACCTAAAAGATAATTCGATGTATTTTAGGTTAACAGGAGTAAAAGGAGAAAGACACTGTCAATTACTTACCAGATTTCGGTGGAAATCGATAGGCAGAGTTAGCTTGGATATCGATGTCCTCAACACCAGCAATCCTGCGACTCAGGACGGACCCCATCTTTCTCGATGCTACCTACAGTTAGCTTAGTAGCTACCGCCGCGTCAACAGCTCCGAATTATTAGCTCCGACTTGAGCATAAACAGAAACCCAAACGACTAAAACCTCCACCAGAAACAAAGGGTGCTGTTAATTCGCCATTTTTCTCGCTATATTTTATGGCAGTCGTACTACGAAAAGGTACAAATGGACGAGAAAGCTGTTGTTTTGCCAGAGATATGCTAACTGCGGGGAGGGGGAGCGGATTGGCTGCAGTGTTGCCAGATGGGAAATGAAGTTTCGTACCAGTGACTTGATCGGAAAACTATCACACATACACAGATTTCATTTCAAATTGTCTTATAATTACCTCCTTCTATAGCTCACCAATATAAACAATGCATATTATAGTATATAATACGTGTTTTATCTTTAAGAAAATCCAACAAAACTGTTGAAAAGGACATTAATGGTCGAACAGCGCCTCTACTGGTGTGGAGGTCAGGATGAGCCGCCACCTGCACTGAACAGTTCACAACGACTATTTAATTTTATGTCTATATGCGCAATCCGCCTGGCTAACATTATTTTGTTAATTTGTTTATAGTTTTGTTTGTTTTTGTTATGAATAAAGTTTGAAAATTACAATCAGTCAGACTGTTTGTTTATTCATTCAACCTTTGTTTATATACTAGAAATTAACATCAACCATTCTCCTAAGCCAACTACAATACGATACAACTCAACAATACGATTAAAACACTTGCTAAAGGAATTGGAATCAAAACCTAGTGACATTTATGCACACATTAGGTGTAAACAACAACACCAACTACTAGGTCATTTGTCACAACATTTGAACAAAATTAACATTTTGGCCACGGTGCGTTCTGCATTCAGCCACCTCGCTCGCGCGTCGGTCGCGCGATGTGTTAAATAATTATATTATTCAATGTACGACTTTGTACATTGTGGGAATTTTTAAAAGTATAGATTGCACGTGGCAACGCTGATGTGAGCAGTTCATCCTGTGTTGACAAACCACGACAAGGAAGTCGACCTCCGTTTCTATGGTAACGCACGTCTCCATAGCAACCAGTCCAAAGCGTCTGTCGGAGATTTCATTGCAACCTCTGTAAAGACACATATCGGGAGCAAAAACGAGACCTCGCTAACTGAGCAACGTAGGAGTTTATTTGTTACGTTTTATTGTCGGTTTAGAAAAAGGAAGTGTGAGGAAATGGCTCGAGTGAAAAGTGAGCTACAGGCGGAAGGCTTCACTGTTAAGGCCAACATGAAGAACGCCATGGTGAGTTCAGGGTCGTTTGTTAGCTTAAGTTCCGTACGGAACATACACGTTTTTTGTATGTATCCCGCAGTTTTTGAGCTATTTCAGCAATTTAGTTATCAAAACGTTAAGCTCGTTGGGGACGTGGGTGCTTTACATTTTGGTGAAATTTTTGAAAAATTCATACTTTTCAGCAAAAATGTTCTCATTGAAATTTACTTTTTACATGACTCTTACGTTAATTTTTTATGCAATAAACGTGCATCTATCTGTTAAAGATGCGTAAAAAAAAGTACATTCTTTACAATTTAACACTTTTCTACTGCTTTATGAACATTAACTAAAGCAGCAATTCCACCTGCAAATTAATTCCAACTTTAAACAATAAGAGATTCGGCAGTCACCCAATGATTTATCCTGTTGTCAAATCAGAGTTGAAGTTTAATGAAAGTTTTGGTGTTTCTCTCCTGTTATGCTGCATTTCTGTGGTGGCAGAATTTAGAAGTTCAGCTCTGAGCAGCTGTGAGAGAATTATACACATTTGTCTGACGTTGTTAATTCAGCTATTGTTTAACTATTTACAGGTTCATTCAGCCATTTACAGCTTCTGTTTAGCTTTTTTTGGGCTAGTTTTGACAGTGAGAATCATCTGTCCTGCTTCCTTCCCCCTTCTGCTAATTTCAGCTTTTTTGTTTTCTTTCAGCTAAAGTTCAGCTGTTTTTCTGCTTGTTTGAGGAGTTTTTTTCTAGCTAATTAAATTGTTTAATTCAGCAAACATGCTCTTTCAATCTCTTTCTGCTCATTTCAACAGTTAGTGCTGTTTTTTCAACAACTTCTCAGTTTATTTTAGCTGTTTTTGGCTCCTTATAGCTTATTTCTGCTAATTTGAACTTTTTTCCCCATCTACTTCCCTGCTAATATCCGTTTTCTGTGATCCATTTCTTCATATAACTATAACTTGATAATAGTTTGACATAGAAATGCCAAACATCACAGATGGCTGCCTCCTTAGTCAACAATAATTTCTGTTGATTTTAAGGTCACAGAGTAACAAGTCAAGGCCAATAATAAAGGTCACATGCCGCTTACTTTAAATGTCTTTATTGTGAAAACTGCTAAACAAAAAATGTTCAACTTCACAGTTACCTTGTGGGTCACCAAAGATCCCTGTTGATTTTCAAAGTCAATGGGGTTAAGGTCAAAGATAATTCCTTTAATTAAATTTGGGAACCCGTTGACATTGAAATCCCAACCATCACAGGTGGACACCTCATAAGACATTTTTCTTGATTGTAGGGTCATGAGGTCAAAGGTCAGGGTCAAAGCTCACCACTTTCTTGAAATCGCTCTAAATTGATAACACTTTCACATAGAAATGTCAAACTTCACAGCTGGACACCTCATGGGTCAACAAGGATCTCTGTTGGTTTTAGGGTGAAATTAAACAGCATTTAACACAGTTTTGCTTTTTTCTTTTCTGAGCTAGCCTGTTCTTTATTTCCTGCTGGTAGTTTGCTACTTCTGGCTCTTCGTTAAAAAAAAAAAAGTCAGTTTTTATTTTATAACACAATGTACTAGATGTAAAGGTCTCATTCAGTTTATTTCTCCTTTTTGCTTTCCACTCCACTATTTTACCAGTTTTTTCCTTTCTGCCTCGCCAGGTAGCGGGCCCCTTAACTACAGGGATTTTTAAAGCAAGACCACTCAAACCTACCAACTTTCGTAAGTGCTACGAGCGTGGAGAGCTGCCTGTTTTCCTGGTACATGACAGCAAAGGCAGCATTAAATGGAAGGTAGGGTCGCTACTGTTAAGTCCTTACAATTATTTCACTATCCACTGCCAAAAAGACTAGGGGGGTACTATTTCAGGAATACACATATGCACTATTTAAAAGACTGAACTATATTACAAACATCAATGAAAACATTATCTGTAAAGCAACACCCAATTCTTACTGATAATAGAAAGATAGTTTTTATCTTTTTTTTAATACAACATCCTGTTTGAATCCAACATTTCTGTCAAATAAATGTGGTTGAAGCTGAAGAGTGCCATATAAACACTGTTTTTTGTTATTATCAAGGTGATGATGAAGACATCCTGATGTATGCTCAATAATCCAGGTAGAAAAATCCAAAAAAGTTCAATCTGGTCCTCTGGACATTCAAAAAAACAAAAACAAAACAAAGCAAAAAAATCTAGAAACGTTTCGTCTCTCATCCAAGAGACTTCCTCAGTCTGAGGTGCTGTTTAAGTGCTGATCCACTCTGAGAAGGTGCTATTTAAGAGACTGAGCTGAAAACAGCACCTCAGACTGAGGAAGTCTCTCGGATGAGAGACGAAACGTTTCTAGATTTTTTTGCTTTGTTTTGTTTTTGGTTTTTTTGAATGTCCAGAGGACCAGATTGAACTTTTTTGGATGATGAAGACAGTTTTTCGCATGCTCACAAGCCGCAGTGTGCGCTGTTCTCCTGTAGGGGGCAGTGTAGACCAGCTGACTTATTGAAGGTTCCACGGGTCATTCATTCATTCAACCTTCATACAGTGAGCCACGAGGACTCATGTACAAGAGGGGCCTGCTACACACAGAGCATCTCACAGCACCAGCCACAGAACCCATCAATGATAAATTCTAAAGGAACTCAGGGTGGGCACAGCAAAAAACAAACTAACAAACAAACACACAAAAGAAGTAATTGTGTAGGCATTTGTGTGTCTGTGTATAAATGTGTGTGTGCACATCTATCTATCTATCTATCTATCTATCTATCTATCTATCTATCTATCTATCTATCTATCTATCTATCTATCTATCTATCTATCTATCTATCTATCTATC